TGTATTACTGAAAACTTTTATTGTCAAATTATTGAATGATGCCAAAAGCATCAAAGGAAGAGTCACTGCACCAAAAAGAAATGGTCGATGTTCAACCATTTCAAGAGGTACAGTATGATCAAGAGGCAATGGTACCGAAGGAAGATGTCCACGGTGCACTGAAGGCGTTGGCGAAGGACAAGGCTCCTGGATGGAGATCTTTTAATGTGATATTGAAGGCACTCACTCTTCTATGCCAAGAAATTTGGAAGACAACCACCTGGCCAACTGATGCGAGAGGGGAAGAGCTTAGGGGAGCTGCAGGGGGTGGGGCTGGCTGATCAGGGGCTCCACTACGAGGATGGGGCTCACTGGCCTGCCCCACCCAGGGAGGGGGTGACACTGAGCTGCCACCATTGACCTGTGATGATATCGGCCCCCCTGAGTAACCCAGGGTCAGCTTCCATCTCAAAAAGCTGTCGTCACACGTGCAAAGTCTGTTTTGCTTGTGGTGGTATCGCTGCTTGTAGGTAACGTGCGCACACAGCGCCCAAAGTGTGCACAGGACAGCACCCATGACAGAATTTGCCAGCACCAAATGTCAGCAGTGAGGTGCGAGAGCCTGGTGTAGGTATGGATGTGGCGCTGTGGGCTAAAGCAAGGTCGGCTGTTCAAACTCACCAGCCGCTCCTTGGAAAACACACTATACAGGGTCGTTATGAGTCGGAATCAACAGCAAATGACGATACAAGAAGCACTGGTGGCTGGCATGGCAGCCCAGGTGTGCTCTCCGTAATGTGTTCATTCCTGTAAATCAGGACTGGGGGCCAGCCACAGCTTGCGGGATCTTACACAGAGGTTCTCAGTGTAAACCGAGCGCTTAACAAATGCAGATGCCTAGGCCTGAGGACTGAATGATAGTGTCCTGGGTGTGGCAGAGCAGGGACGTTTTTAAAAGCTCCCAAACCCCAAGGAGCAGCCAGGTTGAGATGTCTGGGACTTGCCCACCCAGCTGGGCACAAAAAGGACCCCAATGGGCCCATAGTAATGACTCCAACACTTGACTCCTGTGTCGGGGATCTGGAACCCGCACCCTTCAGCATCCACGCTCTTGCTGGTCTCCTGGCCTTAACAGGCTTTAGTGCTGCGGAGTCGCAGCTCCGGAACATTCACAGCTTTGGGCCGAGCGCCCTCTGCCGGCCATAAACCACATAGCCGCTGAGCTCGCTGGCTGACTTGCAAACCTGCAGGTCAGAAGAGCGGGGCCGGGTGAACTTTTCTACCCCCTCCCCAGAAGGTGGTCAAACACATATTTTCTCTAACGCTTGGGGTGCACGACCTCCTAAGCCCAGGTTCCAGGTTCTGTGTTGCACAATGGTATCAATGCCCCGGTAGTCAGGTGGAGGGTGGCATCGCCGCAAATCCAAACTCGACAAGGACAAACTTCCCTCCCTTATTGGGGAAAATCCCTGCAACCCGCGCCCCCTCACCACAACCCAAATCCCCACTCATCTCCTATAGAGCCCTAGGGCCTCATCTGCAGCCTTACCTGCAGCATCCAGCTAAGCCTCCTTGTTGTTGTTAAGTTCAGTCGAGTCGGTTCTGACCCACAGCCACCCTGTATAGGGTTTCCAAGGAGTGACTGGTGAGCTTGAACTGCCGACCCTGCAGTTCAAACTACTTTGCAGTACAGTGCATTAACCCACAGCGCCATACCAGGAAGCCGCCTTAGCAACTGACATTTAGTGCTTTCTTAAAGGCCTTACTCGTTCAATCCTTCCACCAACTCCACAGATAAAGAGATTGGTTCTCCACTTTCTGAGTGAGAAATTATCAAAGAGCATATTAATATTGCATGCCAGTAAAGTTTTGCCGAAAATAATTTTAAAACAGTTGTAACAGTCCACCCACAGAGAACTGCTAGATGTTCAAGGCGAATCCCCTAGAACGGGGACAGCATTGCTGACGTCACATGGATCTTGGCTGAAAGCAGAGAATACCAGAAAAATGTTTACTTGTGCTTTACTGACTATGCAAAGACTTTCAACTGTGTGGATCATGACAAACTATGGACAACATTGCAAAGACTGGGTAGTCTAGACACATAATTGTGCTCAAGGGGAATCTGTACATGGACCAAGAGACAGTCACTAGAACACAACAAAGGAATACGGAATGGTTTCAAATCAGGAAAGGTGTGCGCCAGGGTTGTATTCTTTAACCATACTTATTCAATATGTGCACTGAGCAAATAATCTGAGATACTGGGTTATTTGAAGAAGAACATGGTTTCAGGATTAGAGGAAGACTCATGAACAACATGTGATATACAACCTTGCTTGCTGGAAGTGAAAAGAACTTAAAATACTTACTAATGAAGATCAAAGAGTACAGTCTTCAGTATGAGTCACACCTCAATGTAAAGAAAACAAAATCCTCAGAACTGGACTTATAAGTAGCATCCTGATAAATCGAGAAAAGACTGAAAGTTTTTAAAGACTTCAATTTGCTTGGATCCACAATTAACGCTCATGGAAATAGCAGTCAAGAAATCAAATGATGTATTGCGCTAGGCAAATCAGCTGTGTGTACACACAAAAAAAGTGTTCAAAAGCAAAGATATCAGTTTGAGGATTAAAGTGTGCCTGACCCAAGCCATGGTATTTTCAATACCTTATATGAATGTGAAAGTTGGACAATGAATAAGGAAGACCAGAGAAGAATCACTGCATTTGAATTATGGTGCTGGAGACGAACATTGGACTTCCAGAAGAACAAACAAATATGTTTGGAAGTATGGCCAGAATGCTCCTTGGAAGCCAGGATGGCCAGACTTCATCTCTCATGCTTTGGACGTATCAGGAGGGACCAGTCCCTGGAGGAGAACATCAGGCTTGGTAAAGTCAGGGGTCAGCGAAAAAGAGGAAGACCCCCAATGAGATGAATTGACAGTGGCAGCAGTTATGGATGGGGTCAGGACTGAGTGATGCAGGACTGAGCACTGTTTCATTCTGTTGTGCAGAAGGCTGTTGAGTGAGAACCAACTCGATGGCACCAAACAACAGCAGAAAAACCAACATGATGAGAAAACGGAGACATAGAGGGGTTAAGCTACTTTCCCAAAAGCACACAGCCAGTAAAGAGTCCACTAGTACTAAACCCCAGGCACAAAGTTGGTGTGGAAAGAAACTTCTGAATGAAGGAGGTGACTGTAATCCTCACTGTTCCTGGCTCCATCACAGATAGTGTCACAAGGACAGACCTGTGGGATCTACTCTGGTGTCATTTTGACACCCTGTAACTCAGCCCTTCCCTTCTCTATATTCGGTTATAAAAAGTAGACTGGGCGGTCCCTTAGTTGATCCTCAGACCCCAGCTGGTGGAACAGGATTGGTTATGGGCCAGGGTCATGCCTCTGAGACCGCGTATGATGACAGAAGCGGATCTTTACGGCGGGCTGGCCACACACCTGCTGTACAAAGCACTTTGCATCACCTCTGTGAAACGTACAAACTGACGTTACCTATTTTACAGACATGGAAACTGAGGCTCTGAGAGCCACCCTCACCAGCCAATGTCAAATCCAGGTCCCAGACCCGGTGTCTAATCTACTGCTGGCTGAGGAGGAACCCAGGGTAAGCCGGGGACCACTACTGAGCCCCCTCTGGTGCCTCACCTCAGTTCCATCCCCAGGTTGGTGAGAACCGCACTTCCATCCAGGTACCAAGGGCCACAAAACCCGTAAGTGAAGAATCCCAGTTTCTGTACCCGCCAGGCCCAGTAACCCTGTGTCATACCCGAGGACTTACGGCGACTCCTTAGAGTTGTAAGAGAGCTCTGTGGTCTAAGAATATGTGGGAAACAAGTTATAAAACTCCATCAAGAGTCTGGCTACCTTTTAAAATTAGAACATGAACTATTACTGTTGTTATTGTTAAGTGCTGTCAAATTGGCTCCAACCCATACAAGACCCTGTATAGGGTTTCCAAGAAGCGGCTGCTGAGCTTGAACCAATGACCTTGTGGTTCAAACTGACTTTGCAGTCCAGTGCATTAGACCACAGAGCCACACCAAGACTCCAGAAAATAATCTGGTGGTGGTGGTGGTTATGTGCCAAGGGGTCGGTTCCAACTCATAGCAACCCTGTGTAGGGTTTCCGAGGCTGTAAATCTTTACGGGAGCAGAAAGCCTCATCTTTCTCCTGCGGAACAGCTGGTAGTTTCGAACTACTGACAGTGAGATTAGTAGCCTAATTTGTAACCACTGTGCTTAATCTAGGTGTGTGAAAAAGCCTAGAAGGAAACCAGTAAGACTCTGGGTGTGGGATTCCCTGTGATTGTTTTATTTCTACCTTATGGTTTTATCTCATGTTTCTATTTTATCTATAATGTGCACATATTGGTTGTGGAGCTACAAACATCCTGAGAGGTCAGATCCCCAGACCCTTGGACCCTTGGATGCAGACCTGGGCTGAAGAGGCTGCAGTGGTGGTTATGGCCACCAGGTGGCAACCTCGTTCTTTCTTTCCAAGCGGAGCCCAGACTTGGAAATTGCCTTGCAGAGCGGCAGTGATGTCTGGGGTCTACAGTCCCTAAGATCCTTTGGGGCTGGAACTTCTCATTCAGGGACCCTCCCTTACCTTTTATCCCATTTCTGTGGGGCCTGGCCCCTAATTTAGGTAATTTCTCTGCAAACCATGGCTGGCCAGTTTGCACATCTGTCCCCCTGGTCTTAGCAGTGGGTCCCTAAGGTGACCTTCATTCAGGTGCTCTTGAGTTCAGTCCCCTGGAACTGCTTAAGTGTCAGAAGCCTCTGTGCCCCCTCGTCTCCATGGGGTCGTGCCCCCTCACCCTGGGTCTGCCCAGTGGCTCCTCCATCTCTTGTCTCACTGCCTATCTCTGTCTGTCTGTGTGTCTTGGGTCTCTTTTTGTCTCTGATTTCCTCTGTGTCTCCCACTCTTTCTGTCTCTGTCCTTCTCCCTCTTGCCCTCCCCCAATGGTATCTTAATAGTCTAGCAAATTCCCAACGACCCATGTGTCTGCACAGGCAGATTCCCAGGCCCAGGCCCTGCAGATTTCAATCCAGCAGGTCTGGGTGGGGTACAGGAATCTGCATGTCATGGAAACCACATCAGAGCCTCTTCTGCTGAAGACACTGCTGAGAATCGATCCTAACCCGGTGGGAGCGTGAGGACCCCACTGTCCACCTCCCTTCCAGGGACTTATTGGTCTTCCTGCCCCAGGAAGACCTTTGCAAGGGGCTCCCTCTACCTTCCCTCTCCATCACTTTTGACTCATCTGTGGTGTCTCGGTTCAAATGTCCCCTCCCAGAGGAGCCCTCCCTGACACTCAGGCTCTGTCTGTCACGCCTCATGATCCATTTCCTTCTAAACACCCAGAGTAATCTGTGATTATTTTATTTCCTTGTTCCTTCAATTACTGTCTCTCTCCCCGACTGCACTCAACCCCATTGGGGCAGAGACCTCATCAGCGGGGGCACATCTGCGGAAAATTGCACCCACGGCAAGCTGAAATCACGACCCTGCCTAAACACCTGACACCATCTTTTAGATAACTTTACCAGAATATCAGCTCAAAAAATACAATCATCTTTGACTTAACACTTTATGGCTCTATATGAAAATCATAACTGCACCTTCCTTACATTTTATCACTCATTTCCTCTGTTTTTACACTCAACAGAGCAAGATCACACAGTCTGCCTTGACCTATGTTGTAGTTTTTCTCTCCATATTTGACAGCCTCTATAGGACTCGATGGCAGTTCACAACAACATAGACCTTGAGAAGTCCTGGTGTGGCGCTATGGGCTAATGCGTCAGATTGCAAAGTTGTTTGAACTTCAAAGTCGGTGGTTCAAGTTCACCAGATGCTCCTTGGCAACTCTATACAGGGTTGCTATGGGTTGGAATCTACTCGATGGCATTTAACAATAACAACAAAAGGCCTTGACCTATGTAGGCTCTCAAATATGAAAGTGTGCATTTTAATTTGCTGCATCATCTCTCACAGCTGACAATGGAGACTGCAATGGTTCATGGAAACTGCCTATTGGTGCCTCCTCCAAGTGGTACCCAGGGTACGCGCCATACCTATTATAACGGATAGAATTGTGCCAGCTCGGTTCAGTAGATTCTCAGTGTGATGTGATTATCCTTCCTTCTGTGATCTGGGGTAATTATCCCAT